ATTCAAACTGAAGTTAAATTTGCAAACAATATTGTCATGACTTTAAAATTCAGTAAAAGATTTTAAAGCATTGAATATTTTAAATTGGAATGCTCGATCTCTTAAAGATAATGAAGACGAGCTATTTAACTTTTTGAGAGTTCATAACGTGCATATTGCCGTGATAACTGAAACGTTCCTTAAACCTGACCATAAGGTTAGGAAGGACGCAAATTATTTCATTTATAGAAATGATCGTCCTGATGGAGCCTGTGGTGGCGTTGTCATCATTGTTCATAGACGAATCAAACATAAAATACTTTCTTCATTTGAAACCAAAATTTTGAAACTTTGGGAGTTTCTGTTGAAACTAAATTTGGACAACTTACGTTTATAGCTGCTTATTTGCCATTCCAATGCGTAGGCCAGCAAAAGAATTTTCTCAAGGGTGACCTCCAGAAACTTACTCGTCATAGGTCTAAGTTCTTCATTATTGATGATTTAAATGCAAAACACCGCTTATGGAATAATGCTCAAAGCAATTCCAATTGTAATATTCTGTTTGATGATTGATTGTTCTGCAGGTTATTACACTATTCAATATCCAAACAGCCCAACAATCCCAACATGCTTTTCTTCAGCAAGAAATTCCTCAACGATTGATTTGGTCTTAACTGATCATCAGGACTTGATCCGTCTTAAAAATGTCCGCAGGAGAGAATATGAAAAAACACGCGATCCTGCCATGAAAGTTTTCTGGCGGGATTTGCAAAAACAAATTAAAAAGCGATTCTCTGCCCTGATGAATAAAACTTTTGAAAATGATGTTTCTAAATTAGACCCGAGTTCCAAACCCTTTTGGAAACTCACAAAAATTTTGAAAAAACCTCAAAAGCCAATTCCAGCGCTTAAAGAAGTTGGTAAAATTTTGATCACAAATTTGGAAAAAGCTCAGAAACTTGCTAAGCAATTCGAGAGTTCCCATAATTTCAGTTTGGGTCTTACTAGTCCTATTGAGAATCAGGTTGCTCGGGATTATCTGAATAATTTCTCTTGGGAAAATATTTTCGATGATTCCTGAGGGACTGATTTGGACGAAGTAAGATTTATAACTAACAAGTTTCATAACATGAAAGCTCCAGTTGATGATGGAATATTCTATTAACTCATCAAAAAACTTCCTCAAAGTACTTTGTCGTTCTTGTCAAACAGATGTTTCCATTTGGCATACTCTCATGATAAATGGAAAAATGCAAAAGTTGTTCCTATTTTGAAGCCGGATAATAATCCAGCTGAATCTCGTCCAATAAGTTTGCTTTCTTCAATAAGTAAATTTTTTTAAAAGATTATTTTGAATAGAATGATGCTTCACATCAGTACGAACTCAATTTATGCAGATGAGCAGTTTGGATTTCGCCATGGGCATTCAACTACTCATCAACTCTTAAGAGTTACCAATTTAATCAGTTCAAACAAATCTGAAGGCTTCTCAACTGGAGTTGCTCTTCTAGACATAGAAAAAGCATTCGACAGTGTTTGGCATGAAGGTTTGATAGCTAAATTGAAAAAAAAATAATTTTCCACTATATATTACGAAATTAGTTCAAAATTATTTAACTGACAGGACTCTGCAGGTAAATTGTCAAAATTCCATATCTGATCAACTACTTGTTAGAGCAGGAGTTCCTCAAGGTAGCATTCTTGGGCCTATATTGTATAACTTTTTCACTTCGGACCTCCCTGAGTTGCCTCAGGGTTGCCACAAATCTTTGTTTGCTGATGACACAGGCATTTCCGCTAAAGGAAGAATCTTCGTGTTATTTTCAGCAGACTGCTGAAAAGTTTAGATATTTTCTCTTCTTATTTACAAAAATGGAAGATTTCTCCCAACGCTTCCAAAACTCAACTTATAATATTTCCACATAAGCCTAGAGCTTCATTTTTGAAACCTAGTAGTAGTCACACAGTCACTATGAACGGAGTTCCAATTTCCTGGTCAAATCAAGTGAAATATCTTGGATTGGTACTAGACCGAAAATTAATTTTTAAAGATCGCATTGAGGTTATTCAAGCGGAATGTAACAAATATATAACATGTTTGTATCCTCTTATAAACCGGAAATACAAACTTTGCCTGACGAATAAACAACTAATATTTAAACAAGTTTTTAGAGTGGCCATGCTTTACGCTGTGCCAATATGCTCTAGTTGTTCCACTACCAGGAAAAAAGCACTTCAAAGGATTCAGAACAAAGTTCTGAAGACGATTGTGAAGTTGCCTCCCTGGTACAGCACTACTGAGGTATATATAACTTCGAATGTTTAGACTTTAGAACAAATGTTCAACAAAATAGTTAATAATTTTAGGTAAAAATCATTACAATCCTCAATTGCAATGATTAATTCCCTTTATACTTTAATAAGATTTAGAGTTAGATTTTACTTTAACATTTTGTCTTATATTACTTCTGCGTGAAGTCAACGATTTACATAATTGAAAATGCTTATTTCAAATAACATACTAGAGTGGTAATTTTTATACGATAGATAAGGAGATGAAAGTATAGAGTTAATAGTTCCGTTAGAGTACGGCAGTGTGAAAATTTTTATTTAGAGAGTAGAAAGCGAGCAAAGACAACTTTTATGAATGAAGGTACAAATCGGTTTGATCATCTATCTTTATCAAACTCCCCCGTTGGAGAGGGATGGTGAGGGGTATTCCCCCCACCTCTTCCCGTCACCACTGGCAAAAAGAGATGATCACCGACACGCTCAAGTACCGACGATGTGTTTGAAACAGTTCTACCAATTTTTACCACACTCAAGCTGTTTTCCAAACCTACGACTGGATGCCTTCTATCAGATAATCTTACGGTATTGTTAATTTTCCTAAGTTGTAAGCGTTTAATGAAAAAATACACTGGATATTGTGCAAAATTGTATAAACACTATGAGCTTGCTTGAGCTTGATTGACCGCCCACGGTTGCTACTCTGTTACTGCCAGATCAGCTGTAATTACACAGAGAACCAATAGACGATGCTTGGGACTAGCAATCATCCTCAATGTGTAAAAACTGGTGATCTTAAATTAGGCAATACCAGCGCCGGCCGCGCCCGAACACAGGTCAAGAAAGGAATGGGAAGGATTGTGTTGGAAGCCGAGAACACCTCTGCACTTCCACGAGGAATCACTGGGATGTTGGATAAGAGGGTTGGGTTTACAGCAGGATTCGTTTTGGTAAACGATAAGCTGAATTGATGTTATAACGATCATATAACGCAAAGGAGCTTGGGACTTAACCCACGGTCTTCTGCTCAGTAATCAAAAATGTTTGCCACTAGGCAGACGAGCACCTTTTTAATCACCGAGTTGCTGTTATTACCATGCAGTCATATTAACAAATAAAACGATAGACGAATCTTGAATGTGGATGGGCCTGAGATTAGACTCATGATGTTCTGCTCAGTAAGCAAAAACGGTTGCTCTAAGGCCACCGAGCCCCTCATATCACATAATACCGTTGCTCAAATTTGTGTATCCATTCAAACCCGGAACCAACGACAACAACGAGTTTCGGAAAATACACGATACACAAGCGATTTTACCATAAATCTCTTTGATATGTAAGGACCTGGGACCACGTTTTTCTGCTCAGTAAGCAGGCCACTGTAACCGACGATCTTTCAAATCCGAAAACTAAAAACTACGAAAAAGTACTTAGGCCTTCATTAAGTTCCACTTTCACGCGACGTTCAATGACAGGGTCATATCCAGGATTACATCTGAAAAATCCAAATCTGGCCAACGCCCACCTAAACCTGTTCTAATCCACCTGAAATGACTAACAAATGGAAGACTTTGACTACCCAGCCATGCAATAGTTTCATTCCGTGCCTTATGGCAACTTGATGATTCTATTGCGCTCATCTTTTGGCACCACCCAGGGGAGACTTGGTCCTGTACCCAATGCTTAACTTATCTCCATTCCACTCAGCTACTCGCAATTTCTTGTGATATAGTGGGCGGAATATTATTATATGAGACAATTCAATGCAGACGTCTTTCCAAATTTGGCAGATCGACAGGTAATCGGTGAGTTACCACGATAGTTGCTATTCAACAACTCGACCACGTCCCATCGTCAACGCCTGCTATGAGAATTTCCCATTGCAGACGTCAACTAAATGACGTCATCGAGCTATCGATCAACTACCATGGTTATCGCCTGGTACTTTATAGCACGATGCTAGGAGGCGAACCGGAAGAATCGATGAGCTACCTCTCCCCCTGTGCAAAATTGTATAAACACTATGTGCTACAAAATTCATATTTATTTTAGTTGGTGTAAAACAATTTTTAGAAGAGCTTAAATCAAAAATATCTGGCTTGACTCAATTGAAAAAGATATACTGACATGAGTGTAAAAATTGCATTTTAGAGCACATGTGATTTAAAATTTCGTAAAAATTACATACTGCCTCATATATATTGCTTATAAGCAGAGCTTAAATTTTGCCGAAGAAAGTATTAAGATAAGTAGTGAAATAATAAAGTTGTGACTGAAAGTGTGTGTCCATTTTATAAACAGAACAGTCCTTATTGATTGCGAGTTGCAGCATGAATTTGTTTATTATGAGGCAGGCACATGCACAGCACCATGCCTTAGCTGACTAGGCTATCTAGCCCAAATAACAATTTGGGTGTAGGGCTGTGTAGATCTTGATTTAGACTTGTACAATTCTACAAAGCCTTGATAAACTTGCAATGTTACTTGGGAGAGGCCCTCCAGCAGATACTGACCACAGAATCAAACGAGCAGTGAAATAATAAGATCCACACCCCCATCGGTTTTGAGTTGCTCGGATCGAAATAATCAGTGACATCATCTCTTCCTGGTTTCCTTCCGGTCCATTTCCTGCCAAGCGTGTCGCATATATGTACGTCTAATGACATAATAGCATTTCCAGCCCTACTCACACACATACACACTCACACTGGCACACGCATTCCGACACCTACCGCTGATTTGACATCCTTCTTCGTTGACAGCTTCCGGTGGAAAATTTTGGCCGGCTCTGTTTCATTTTCACTTTCGGACGATTCATCCCCGGTCCGTGGACTGCCCGGTGCTTCAGCCATTCCACTGCTCCGCCACCGGTGCCGGCGACAATTTGACCAGGCAGACCAGTACTAACAGCGTCGAATTTAACAACGACGCCGACGGCGTCAGGTCCAGGTGGATTTTGGCGGGCTGCTGAAGGTGTAGGTACGTCGTCTTAATTATGTTTACTTTTTTGCTACCCACTCCTAGGAGGGAAACCGAGCCCTCTTGGTACTTGCACTCTCGCTCCCGCAAGCGATCTCTTTCGACCCCGTTCCAGGGTGCTCAAATTGTTGAACAACGCTCTCTTGCTATTGTACTTTCACGGTGTTTGAAATGCTTCTCTCGCTCTTATTTCACAGTAAGGACCACTCTTTCCCTACCCCGTTAAAAGAACACAATGTTGTGGTTGTGTCATTTTGGTACCACTTTTGTTCTACTTGTTTCACTGCATCCGTTCTGAAGCTTTCTGCATTTTAGGCCATTATCATCGCAATTATAATCACTTCTTTTGTCCCTACCAAGTGGTCCATTAGTTGCCATACCTTTACGTTCCCCTATTTGTAGACGTTTACTGGAGCGAGCTGATTTCCTCTTCACTCTCTTCTTCGGGCAGCTTCAGTTTGCATTCATAGAACTTTTTATTTTTTTCCTTTTTATACACTAGATGATTTCTGAACACGAATTTTCGTAAATTTTCTTTAGACATAGCTAAATATTGAATATTTCCAAGCAAGAAGAAGACTAGCTAATGTTTGTTGTAAATTGTTAAGCTTATCGTAATCACTAGCATACATGTCGGCGTGATGAATTTGCTCCTCTCCCAGCTCGGACTTCACGATGGGAGCACTATCCGGCACAAAGCTGGCGATTGGCTTGCCTCCAAAGCACTACATTTTTAACAAAAGCCCTGATCTTAGGTTCCAGTTCAGTGCATTTCGGGATGCTTTTTTTCCAAATCAGTCCCTCTGGGGTTCCTGTTGCTTTTCACCTACATTGATTGAACCGCTGTCCCACCTGCTGCACACGCAAGGTCTTCTTTCCCATAATCCAAATTGACAAACACCACACACACGCACACAGCTCCGGCGGAAAACTAGGGCGAAATCATACCGAACAAAAGCCGTGGAAAACTAGGCTCCTCACTACCTGCACTACAACACTACAATGATTGGTTTGAGCGACTTGTTTCAGTTTCTGCAAATCTTGTATTATTTTGGTTGGCGATTTTTTTCTATGTGCTATTATGTGGTTTTATTTGGAGGAAGGAAAAAACTGAAAATTCAGCCGAGCAGCAGCCCTTCCACCCAATAACAGGCGAACGCTCTCCAGTAGCTCTCAGGTTGAGGTCCCCCAGATCGCTTCTGCTAGCGGTGGTTTTCTCTCGCTCTCGCCATGCTGCTGCTGCTTCTCTCACACACAACCGTTGGTACGTAATGCCAATAAAGGATATGATTTTCCTTGTTTGTGGTGGTAGTGGTGGTGATGGTGAAAGCTTTCTATGCATTGGGTTCTATGTTGTCCTGTAGCTAACCGAAAGCGGGAGAAGGATGTTAGGTGAGTGCGTTTCATCTACATGAACGCACATTTTCAGAGCAACATGCGGTTTCACAGGCGTGTGCAGTAAAGGTACTGTTCGTTTTTCTATCGGTGATCTTTGCCCAGGAAGCTGATAATACATTAGCTTGCACGTGAAACGAACCTTGAGGAAATTTGACGTTGCTGCCTGAATACTTCGGTCATCTAGCACAGCTATTAGTTTCGAAGATTGCATCGCCCATGCAATCAGACGTTGCTTTTGAAAGTTCTTCAACATGCCTTCAAGATCATCTACCAAGAAAGGGCCACCACTGAAGTCTCGGTACACCAAGTTGAAGGGGCAACAAACTTCCGTTAACAATATCTGCAAATTTGTTGAAAACTTTACGGAGGGTACCACCATAGAGATAACTCTAATACTAGAAGATCCCGAAATAACGTGCTCAACTTTTTGGCTCAGCTCTGGTACTCTCTTCGGTCCCAAGCTAATCGATTCACCCCTCGAAACATAGGAAAAACCAATTGCGTAGTACTAGAATTTCGACTAGAATGGGGTACGTTAATCGTAAACGTCAAATCATTTCTGCATGATAAGGTCAAGGAATTTCCAGATACATCAGCTCTCGATCAACAAGCTAGGGGAATTGATGCAACGTTACATGGTGGGATGGATCATGTTCGTCTACCTCAAATTAAGCTTAAAAGTTTTGACGGTAACATAGACGAGTAGCTTAGCTTTCGGGATCTGTTTACTTCATTGATCCATCGGAAGCCTGATTTATGGGAAGTGGAGAAATTTCACTACCTAAAAGGCGGTCTCGGAGGTGAAGCGAAGGCGTTTCAACTGGGGTTATGAGTAGGGATGGGTCCGAATTCTGGTCAACAGAGGAAAGCGGAGGGATCGGTTTCGTCTTATTTTTCAAAATTTTGGTCATCTTCCAAAATGGTTTTGCACAATCTGGGAGAGAGCAAATCTTGTTAGCAAAATCGTTATTTCTGATTTCCACCATCCTGGCCTGGATAACTTTCGTTAGCCTATTGACATTGGTCTTCAAATGGGGCCGCCCAGAACGCTGGAACTGCCTACGAATGGTGTTACGGAGCCTGATAAGATCTTTGGTTGGGCTGTCATGGTTCAGAGTATGACTCACCTGTCTGGATGCTGGTACGTGTTGCTCCCTGGCACGGGATATCGCCTCTTCGATGGTTTGCTGACACCGATCGACTTCTTCGAACGACTCCGGTAGGACGTCGTAGTCGATTGCTGCCAGTTGACACGATGGTAATTTCGCCGGGAAACTTGAAACCTATTGGTCGAGGAACCTACTTTGGTCACCACCGGATAGTGGTCCGAGCTCAGTTCCTGATAGGCGATGGGTTGAGAGATGCTATCGCCAATGTTGCTGTTGAAGATGTCGATGGTGGCATGTGCTCCGGATCGACTCAACCGGGTGGGAGTGTCTGAACACAGGATGTTGTAGTGGGCTTCCTGCAGATCGTTGTACACAGTCTTGTAAGCGGTCACGGTAGTCGACACATTTTCTGTGATAATTGACTGCCTTTGCCTCCGACACTTGCAAAACAAGCTATCATAGTACAGTACCAAACTAAAATGTCGTATGACAGGCTCTGTCATACGACACCGTCGCCGAAGACCGTCACGAATGTATGTATTTTAGTTTTCTCACAATTGGTTTGATTTACACCAAATTGAGGAATTACAACGAAATCAGATAGCTATTTTGATAATTTTCTTTTAGCTCGAATGTTATTCTACCGCTCGTGTTGTGTGAGAGAGACGACGGTAGAGCATGAGTGTTCGAATACAAACAGACTGTCGCGCACGACAACGGAGCGAGTGTAGTAAAAAACGTCAACTGTTTCAACCCCTGGTTGTACAAGATTGTGCCGTTTTGGTTTCGCTGACTGTTGCCCCAGGCTTGATGCTTGGGGTTCAGGTCACCAACGATGATGAAATTTTGCCGCCGTCGTGTTAGCTTGGTGATGTCTCTTCAGCGGTCTGTGGCCGAGCCGTCCCTAATGTTGGTTTTCTTGGGGCAGTAGACCGCGATGATGGTGATTGGACCATGCGATGTGCTCACCTCAACTCCGATGGCTTCTATAGTTTTCAGCTGGAAGTTTGGTAGTAGCCGGCAGCTGATGTTCCCTCGGAGCTGGTGCGGTCAAGCCTTACAGGCCAAAAGTTGCGAAGGAAGACGTTCAGCTCGGGCTTCAAGTGAGTCTCGGTTTTGACGGCTATGTCGATGTGCCGTTCGTTGAGAAAGTCAACAAACTTGATGTTTTTACTCTTCAAGGAGCAAGGATTCCAAATTTCGATCTTGATGGCTTCACGGTCCATACTTAGTGACAAGGGAGCATGTAGTTGTTCAGATCGAGTCTTGCAGGTGCGCATGATGATGATGACCTCGGCAACGAGTGTCACAAGTTCCTCCGAGGTGAACAGAGAATCGTCGACAGGCTCACCTGAGACAGAACCAGTGTATGTTAAACCAGGGGCGGTGAGTGAACCTAGAATTGACTGGGCCGCAGCAGCAGCGAGACGATGCTGAACTGTCCGACTGTTGGGAACCATTTGGATACTCGCACACACTTAAAAAATTTCATATAAATTTAGGTTCCCTGAGACTGACATATGGGTCATTCCATCTCAAGTGACCAGTTGCATCGACCCTCTCCGATTTGAACCAAACTTGGTGGAACGACTTATTTTAGGCCAACAATCAAAAATCCAACGTTTTGTACCCATAGACTCACCCCCCGGTTTTGGAGGCTGCCCCCACTTTTTTTCGATCTTCAAGAAACACCATTTTTCTTTTGAACATATCTCTGGACCAAATTATGCTACAGACAGGATTGGGCACTCATTTTAAAAGATTTTTAACGTACAATCAAATGGGGTAGAATTTTTATGCAGTGTTGACAACTTGTCGATTTTTGCAATTTAAAACTAAAAATGCAAATATCTCAAAATGCCCCCACTCAGTGTTCACTCGGCTGTCGACAAAAGCAGGCCACTCTCGATGTGTGCTGCGCGATCGTCTGTTTTCTCGGCAGCAACCATTGTGTGGTCCTCCTCATTGTTCTTCATCAGCAGTTCTTTCGGTCGATGCGTCGTCGACTTTGGAAAGCAACCGTTTCGTGATGAGTGTGTGAGTGCTGACCACGTTTTGCGTCCATTGCTGCAATGGACGCGCTCTGACCCTCGTTGGCGTACAACAATTTGCCATACAATGAAACCACTGGAAGCGGCTCCAGTTCTGATGGAGAAGGCTTTTTGGATAGCGGAAGATAAAGTGTTTATTGTGTTGTACCTTTTGACTATAGTTTTAAGATGTATTGTATAGTGACCAAGAATCCTCGGCTCTGTAAAGTTAATTCGGTTGAGCCTTATCAAATAAATTAATAAACAAAAAAAAAAAAATGCCCCCACTTTTTTTTTCTAATTTTGATAGCACCAAAATGTTCGGCAGACATTTTTACATAAGAATCAACAAACCACCAACAACCACTTTTTTCGTTTGGGAGATATGGATTTTTAAAGATTTAATGTTTTTAAAAAGTTCCATTACTGTACAACCACAAACGAAGTGACAGACGACTAACTGGTGAAGAAATAAATTAACATTATGTGGTTCGCTGTAATAGAATTTTCTTAAAAGCTTGTGCCATCATCCACCAGATGGGTTAGTTTTTTTTGTTTTGATTTGAACAAAGTTGATTTTGTGTACAATGATTCTTTGACAGTGTGCAAAGAGTGTATCATTTTGTCATTTTTTTATGCATTTCAGTTTTGAGTAGAGTGAAAGAGATAGAACCAAAACATTCTTATACATTTGGTGAAAATGCTAGTACAATCCAGTAGTGGTGTTGCCATGTGGTTCACTGAAAAGAAGAAGAGTCTGTGCCTAGGGGCACGAACGGAAGCTTGACGTAGGACCGCGAGTAGACGGAATAAAAGTGAAGAACATTTAGTTCTTTTAATTGATCAATTGATCTCAACTCTTTCCGTCTTTGAATTGTAGGCGTACCAAATTTGTAGTAATCTTTTTCAAAGAGAAAGTTGATTAAGAGATTCAATCAAAATCGCTTGCACCACTGCTTCCAAGTTTGGTTACAAGATTACAACTCTGGAGAGCATTTTGTGTGGTCGTTGGGGGCTTATGGTTCAGAATATGGACAAACAAGCACAGATAAATTCTATTCCAACTCTTTACTGATGTAAGCTTGATGGCCCTGAAAAGGGCCGTTTTATTGAAGAGGACATCCATGGCCACTTACGCTTGGCGTGTTTAGGTGACAGCATCACTGACCTCATTTTCCAGAAACACCTTCAGCACACCTCGTAGATCAGACCGGAGATACGTTTAACACCACCACGGCGAGCCAGACGACCGATGGCGGTTATCTCGAAGAACTTTGCGATGACGCTTGGCGCCTCCTTTACCAGACCTTTTCCTCAAAGGAGGAGGCAAAGGCCACGACCAGTCAATTGTTGCTTGTTAGGTGTGAAGGAGTGGACTAGCCACCACCTTCCTACTGCTGCTATTGCTGTTCACCACGCCGTCCGAAGCGAAAATGAGCCAATGCCATCCAGCAGCGCTCATTTATATCTTTTCAGGTCAAGGGCATCTTTAGCGGGGATGCTTTGGTTTGGTCTAACATTTAGGAACAGACCCAGACCGAGCCATTGCACTGGTGGTCTTTATTTTGTTTTAGACTAGTTCTAAAATGTAA